TTGGATCTTTAATACTTAAAGTTATAAATTGTTCGATTACAAAAAATAAAAATGTTGCGTAAATATTCTAATTTTTCTGTGTTTTTTTTTTAGTTTCTCCCTATTATTATGAAAGTTAAATTTTTCTGGGGTGCTGTCACCCTCAATGCTTGCATTTATTGCAGCAAACCGTTTTCTAACTTGTATCATATAATATTTTTTTGAGCTATTGTTACCTTATATTGACATTTAAAATTTTTTTAGTTATTTTTATTTAGAATTTAAAATTTAAAATATTTTATTTAATTATGTTGATAGCATTTTTTGTTAAGTCAAAAAGTTTGAAAATTACATATAATTCCTCGTAAGTTGTTCTTATAGAAAAATATCAAAAATACATATTAGGGTCAATTTTTATAGATACTCGTATTTTATGTTAACGTATTAACACCGGATTTCTACGGTATATTGGTATTGATAAAAAAGTATGGTTTCGTGCAATATTGATAAATAACCATAATATACCTATGTTAGAATAATACAATATTAATGATAAAACATGTTTCATGTTTTGGGCAAAATATAGTTTTATCTGGCGCACCTATGACATCGATGGTGACACAGCTCAAATTTAACTCAATAAAATTGACGACCCACAGTGGTGTAGCTAAATTGCCTATACTTACCGCCGTATATTTTGTATAAGTATGGATGTTAATTACTTAAGACGCATGTCGCAGGCCATCTATAATAAATAATTATTTGTTGGAACAATAGAATGTACAGTTGATTAATTGAGATATCACCGAATCAATTATTATTGATATTTATCAGTGGCCCAAATGCCCAATTACTGGATTCAATAATAAAAAATCATTAAATATAGTTTCCCAATAACCGGGTTGTCATTTTATAAATATAACATTTTAATTGCGCAGTTAGTGTAACCCTTTATACTATACAAAGTAGTTTCAACGGATACATATTAAAATATATATTTAAAAATGAATAATAAAATAAAACTGTATAATGACATTGAAGTTCAACTAAGTTCATTGAACTTTGTCGGCTTAAAAATGCATTGAGTTATTGATAAAGGTGTGTTGGTTCTAAAATTGTTAGCTACATAATTATGTTTTTTTGTCCTTTTACAAGTTCAGAAAAACCCTAATCATATGACGTGACCAGGTAATCGCACTTTACTGCGACTCTCTGTGTATATACGTACAATTCGGGTAAAAGTAATAAGCAAAATCTCAAAATTGTATACAAATCCTGTATTCCTGTAGTCATAGACTGGTTTATAAATGTTAAACAAATGCATGTATTATATATTCATGTAATCACTCTCAGAACCATATTTTGAAACCGATGAATAAATTATTGGTTATACATTTTAAATTTAACTTAATAACAACCAATACCTACGCCTGTGCATAGTTTCGCTCAGAAATCATATTTATTAGAACATGCTGCGCACAGTTTATTACAGTGTACGCATTATAATTTTTTTAGCGTTAGTTCATTGCAATATTATTATATATATTATACGTACATTTAATTATGATGATTTTTGGCCAAGTGTGCAGTTGTGTGAAAGTGATTTTTCTCAGTTTTTTACAAGGTACATCGTATATGCATCGCAAAAGTGCATACTCAGCATACTCCATTATATTTACAAACTCAATATGATTAAACACTAAAAGAACAAACACAAATTCTATCGATTCCTGTGAATTTTTATACCACGTTTTCAATATTGTATCAAATTACAGCACAATAAACGTTGGTATTTTTTTCTTTATATTTTTTCATAACTACATAACAATGCAAATTACAAATTTAACAAGAGTTTAAATGATCAACTAATTGAACAGTAAAATAACCGAAATAAGCCTGTTATCGTCAAAATTATAAAATAGGTTTCTGCTAATTATTATTTTGTATGGATATGACCAATTTTTTTCACTTCAATTCAATAGTTTTTAATTAATTTTAATAGTAGATACATATACCCACCAGCCCCGTACATTTTTACAAGGTCTACGTACACGCTAAGTTAGTAAAATAGCAAGTTGGTATATGTCGTACCCGCGTTTACCTTTCAAAACACTTCATACTTTGCCGAAAGCAAATAGTTTTATTTCAATTGACAATATATATTATATATATACATAATATTATTATAGTTTTATATTCATATGATTCATGCGATTAAATTTATCTTGAATTACACACTAGACAAAAATTAGTCAATTAGGTATTAAAGTATTAAATTTAATGTATATATATCCATACCTATACCTACTTAACAATTTTAAATATAATTAGAAAAGTTAAATTGTACGTTTTATTGAATCAAATAATGAAATACTTATAGCAAAGGCAATCGTGTACAGTAAATGTAGTCGTGTCGGTCTAACGCATTTTTAGAGTTGATGTGCTAAAATAAATGCCATAGAAAGAAATAAAAGAACACGTCTGAATCATCGTTCACTTATGTTTAAATTATATGATATATATTATTATTTATAAAGCGTTACCTATTTGCTTCAACATAGTTTCAGAATTTATTGCAGTTTTTGAATTTCTCACGATTTCAAACAAATCTGCGTAGTGCGTGAAGTATATTTTTTTACACTCCTCTCCGGCTCTCAGTAGAAACTTCAGATTATAGGTACGTTGTACAGTGTCAAATTAAATATGTAGGTACTCTATGAAGTAAAATTTAACGGCACCAAAATGTTTTCAACAAACAATGCATAACCACTTAACAGTTTTTTATAAAATAAATAATTATTCGGCTATGCTCAAAACATTGTTAAAGATAAATTAGGTACCTATATGATTAATATTTGACGTAGAGTGTTTGAAACACTGCATATTAACTTGGATAACAAAACAGCTTTATAACTAAATTACAGGAAAATATTTTTTAGGTATCATTATATGTTAGTGTGTCAGTGTTTTTAATAATAATAATAATAATTGATTTTTTATTAAAGAAGAACAATCATATTATAAGAAAATTACCTATAATATTGCACAGACTCTAATTAATGGTTCTGCAAAACCAAATCATTGTCCATTTGTACCCGATAAAAGCGATACGATCACGCATTTAAGAGAAGTTAAAATGCTTTTAAGATTTATTTTTATTTTTTTAGTACAATTCTAAAATATGATGGTTTTATGCAATCTTAAAATATTTTAGATTCCTGCAATAAATATTTTGTTGAAAACATAATCAAAAATTTTAATATTTCAGGGACCTGAACAGGGGTGGACTGGACCGGCTGGATACCAGAAACTTTACCGGTGGGCAACTGCTCAAAAATAATTTGTTTATATATATTTATAATAAAATCGATATAAATATAAATTATAAATAGTTTGTATTTTCGTTTCACAGCGGGTGAGTGTCAAAAATTGCTTATAAAAGGTGTTTAAAATTTTTAATTGCTGTTAGGCTGATCAGTGATCTTCCACCGGGGAAGTCCACCCGAAAATACGTATAATATTAAAACGAATTTGGCTATGGGACTATATTAAATATTATAATTTATCATAATTTTCAATTTTTTGAGCTTTTCTATCCAGAAAGATCCTATATAATGTGAAAGTGTCAAAAAAAATAGGAATTTAAAATAGGGGAGAGTTGTCATAAAAATTCTTTAAAATGTGTTGGTAGTTTTGAATGTTTTTAAATACATACATTTACAAATACTTTCCATGTTACAAAGGAGTGGTGAACTATTGTCCTGATAGATGTATAAGATCATAAATTAATATTAAAGTTATTTATTTAGATGAACGAAAATCATAAAGCATCTTTTATACCGCATAAACACTAGACTATTAGGGTGATTGTTAATTGCATCCAAAGTGGACAGGTGGTAAAAAACAAGAATAAAATATAAGAACAATAAGTAGGTATTGTGAACATTTTTCGATTGAAAATTTAAAAAAATCTCGACAGGTGAAAATAATTTTGAGCAATAAAAAATAATAATACTAGCAGGTTTTATATGGGAAAATGATGTCGTATTACTATTTAGACTATGGTGATATAAGAAAATAATTTATTATTATCATTATTTACTCCATGTATAATTGACCTAATAAAAAAAAACATTAAAATTATAAATGTAAAGCTTAATGTATTATCGAACCATGTTATTTAATTAAAACGACAATTTTTACACCTTTTGGAGGATACTGAAAGCCGCCTCCTCGTGAGTCGTGGTGTCCTCTGGGTAATGCTAAATATAAAAATAATATTACGTAAAAATAGGCTCTGCAGGGTGCGATTTTCGAGTACCACATAGTATATATTATGTCTTCATAGTCATGATACGTATAAATAAAATTTATTGGGCTCAATTTATTTCATATACATTTAATATTTATACCTGTAATGTATATTGGACGCGATTCATAATTTCCTCCCTACGTTTGGCGCAATTTATATTTGTCAGAAAATGACCAAAATTAATAGTATTACACTTACGCCATCTAGTCCTATAATAACGTACAATCACATCACACAGTCGCTGATCCCCCCCCCCTCCCTCTCAAAACCATTTCGACCACAAGGTCGACACGCCGAGTGGAGACTGCGGTGCCCGCCGCCCGGACTATTATAATATTACTCGTGTGGTACCGCATTATTACACTAAAATGTAATATTATATCGGTTGACCTCAAAAAAAAAAAAAAGCATACATAAAAACAAAGAGCCTTGTTGGAGCGCACATCGATGTTTAAGTCGCGATATCGTTAATTCGTCGTCGAGTGTCATGTTATTATATTGACGTGATGTACACATTATATGGCTCGCCGATTCGGCGATACGAACGCGCGCGCACTTCGCAGAAATCGATTGTAGAGTACCTAGTTTACTGCTGCGGCCCGCGAGATGACGATGTTTCGAGTGTTATTTACATTGCGATAAATATACGACTGCAGGCTCAAGGTCGATAAGGTGGGTGGATATCTGCTCAGAATTACACATAAATTATTATTATTATTGTGGGCACCGTGTGACGATCGATGTAGATGTTCGCATTATAACTATCGATATTGTCGTCGTCGCGTTTTTGATGTTTTCGCGCTTTTTACAGACCAGCGTGGTTCGACGGCCCGGGAACACTTTCTCGGTAAACGTACACCTATAGCGGAGTCCCATCAGTTTATTATCACTGCAGCGCAAGCGTCGTATTCGATTGATATTCATATTATTTTACACATATAATACATACTTACCCATCGCCACCGTCCAACGTCTTCCGTCAACATGTTGATGCTCTTAAGGATCGCCGAATTGGTAAGAACACCCACTGCTCTGGATCGTTCAATTCTATAATAATATTATATAAGACGTGTAACATCAAGATTCGTTTGAAATCATAAAGTATTATAATTCTAAATTTGAAATTAATCATCATAATACCAACCTACGTACTCACTGCTCATAGAAATTATCGTGTAAAAGACCGCTCAAATTTGAATATCTTTTATAAACGTGTGGAAAATCGTCTGAACACCGTTATAACGTAGTAATTAATAATAAATAGGTAATTCAATCACGTATATCGGATATAACGATGTATAGGAACTTTGATTAGTTGGTAAAAGATATCCCGATTCTGATATACCTATACAAATTATAGGTAGGTACTTTCCATAAGCTCAACACAAAAAATCATATAATAATATATGGAGCAATGAACAATTTAATTTGACAATAATGTGTTTTTTCTTGTATGAGGATAGTTCTTTCTGGAAAAATTGCAACTGTGAGGGTGGTTTCAATAGTAGAAATTGAATCTTGTTGGTATACTGGAGAAGGAATCAAAAGTTCATAGTTCCTATTTTTAAAAATAATATAGGTAAAATCTAAAAAAGACGTTATTTTGAAGTGTATATATAGGTGTGCAGCTATAGGCAATGAAAATGTACTGCGCTTATTTAAATATAATTGGATAGCTGATATTTTTAATACACAATATATAACTTACAATTTATACATTTTCAAAAAATTATTTTGATTTAATAAATGATCCATATATCCTGTTCTATCGAAATATTATCGCTAAGCTGTAAGCATCAATAACCAAACGTTTTCTGAAGTTATTTTTAATTTTAAATGATAATATAAATATTTAATACATTTATACATTGAACATTTTATAATAACGAGAGAAAGCGAATGTTATAACATGCTATAGCTCAACGTTGCATTACAAATTTTAATGTAGGTGTGCGAAATTATGAGTATAAATGTTTATTAAAATCTGCTCAATTCTTAAAAAATGTTCGGAATAGTGTTGGAGCCAAATTTTAATAGACTTTAATCTTTAATATAATATTGGTATATATTTCGTATAATATTGATATTTCCAAACGTTCGAGTTAAACCACAAATCCTAATCACGGACGTGCAAATGCGGTGACTTCAAAATATAATAATATATTGGTGACAGTGTGACACAAATACACAATATATTATAATATACATAATATTTATGATATATATTATAATGTATTATATGAATATATGATTATAATTTATAATGTTTTACTTATGATATCATTATAATAAATATTGTGGTCATTCACTGCTGCAACATCAGCACGTGGCTTTGTACACGTACGTATAAATGTGTTGTTACTTATTACTTTAAACAAAAAAAAAATACAGATTTAAATAAAAAAACTACGCTGTTTATTCGATTTTCATTGACGCCATCGCACATATTATATTACAATTTATTATTTTATGCCTTTAAACACTATTTTGATGAATTTTAACTTTGTGATTTCTGTCTAAAATTGTAAATTGTTTTCTAATATTCTATACTACTATGTATTGCGCATTCCTGCTGCTCAACGATATTAACATAATTAAATAAAAATAAATTAATATTAACTTAAACAAATTAATACTACATATATCATAAACATACCTTTCTTTATCCTCAATATTGTTTTCGATTTATTCATAAATTTAATATCATAATATATTTTGCTATGTCTTACACTCCTACTCCACTTAAAGAGTTGGTGTTATCGTAAACTTAGTCACTTTTTGATTCAATGTTATCTAAATAATATAATGTACACACACTTAATTATTATGTTTGAGTCATTGTTGAAGATACGATTATTTTCAAATAAAACGAATCGTTGTTAAGTTACAGTAGGTTTTATTATTACGTTGTGACCAGAAAACGTGTACGCGATACTCAAATATATTCTGTATTTCTGTGAAGCTCTAACACATCTATCATTATGTCTCTAAATATTTAGAAACCTTAAATACTTTGATATTGTCAAATTTTGATCAAAACTATTGCATTGAAATAATGACTTAGAAGATAGGTACTATATACTGCATGCTGTATCTCACCACTGTCTATTTTACTTGATGTTATTTTTAGTTTTATATATTTAAAAATGTTGAAAGTAACGGCGTTGTAACTAATTACATTAGAGTTAAAAAAAGTAATTTAACGCAACCACTTTTGATTTTTTGTAACTAAAAATTAATCTTGTTAGGTGCCTTTTAGTACTGTAGCTACTTATTTAGTAATGTATTTACCTAGCTCTATTTTTTTTAAAGTAACATAAAATTGTCGTACATCCGATACACGCTATTACTCGTAAAACTGTATTAGTATATCGTTATCAGTTAAATATGCTTTAATGTTTATAATATAATATCAAACATAAATAATTTTGAAGCAGGGCTTCCAAAAATGTTAAAGTGAAATCGTGGACAAAAATAATTCAATTGTTGTCAGGTGAAAGAGAAAAGTAATTTTTTAGTGAAAGGCTTATTATCGCCCATCCAGGATTTTATACAGAAATTAAACTGAGCAATTTTTATTTAACGCTATCACTTGTCATTTAATTGGAAAAAATTTGGCTTTTGGAATTACATTTTTAAATAGGTAATTTTAAAAATAACATTTTTGAACAACTTTAAATTCTAACTATCGTTTATAATTTATAGTTAAATATATAGAAAATATGTATTTCAAAAACTTTAATACATTTTTTGTAAATGAGTTGTAAGTAAAAGTATAAAAGTTAAAATTATTACTCTGTGTATATTGTATATATATAACACGAAGACGATAATTTAAAAAAAACCAAAAGTAAAATACTTTTTCAAACTTATTAAACTGTTTAGTGTACAGTGTAGATACCTAACATTATCCAAAATAAATTATATTCTTAAAATGACACAATTATCATTACTGTAACTTTTTATTAGTTGTTTCATCATACTGTAATGGGTACCTATATATTGATTTTTTAATAAATAATGACTCAATAATATTGGATGATTAATTAATTTAGCTGACTCAAATGTGTAATTTCCAAATCATACTACAGCTTTAATATTTAGTGAACAATACAAATTAAGATGGAATAGTAGGATACTAGGATGGAACTTCTATACTTATGACAGTTATGAGGATGTCAGCGAACCAGTTGGTTTCTCTTTCTGGTCAATGTGCAACATAGCAAATATGCGTTCAGCAGAACCAATTTGTGTAGTTGTGTTGGTAGATTTAATTGGAATGAATTGATTGATTCTCCATTAAAATAGAAGTAAAAAAGATAATATGTGGTTGCACGTTGTCTTAAATTGTTCAGTATTATATACCAATAGGCTATTGGCGCAGGTAGTCTATTGGTTTTGATAGCTGCTTTATTCGTTTTTTCACCGCCACCTTGCATTTTCGTCTTTATAGTATGTTTATATTTTTTCGTTGTAGGAATATTAATATATTAATGAGCAAATGTTGGATCAAAACTGCATGATGAATCCTTCAAAATGACCTTTAACTTATTAAAATCAGTTAAGAATAGATAATACTATCCTGCATACAAAATACTTATTTCTTATTTTAATGGAATTAATATATATTCGTATTTTAAGTATGACTCTGTTATAATTGTAAATATTTTGAGAGTTTATATTTTAGACGTAAGAGTAAGACCTCAATTTATATTTATATAATTATTTTCTATATCAATCTACAAAAATAATAATAATAATAATAAATATTAAAAACAATTTATATCAATTATTTATTTGATTAATTTATGCATATAGTAATTTATCAGTAAATGCTTTTATAGTATGAAGACTAAAGACATACCACATACACTTAAGACATTAAATCTAAAATAGTTATGTCATAAATTTCTAAATGTTTAATAATTGTCTTATTGTTCCGTTGTATTAACTTGTACAGCCACAACTCACAAGTCACAACAATGCGTGTTCATTTGAATAATAAATATTTTATAATATATACCCCTCACACGCTACAAACATAACACGTAGCTATCCTGACCAATGGTACACTAAAATTATGAATTAATACTTATACATATTCATCATACGACGGCGTACATATTATCACATATCTACAAACAACGATTGCCATGTATAAGTTTTACATTTTTAAGTGACATTGTACCAATTCTATACGTATACTACCTGAAAATATGGCATTGCACCTCAAAATCGTTAAGAAAAATATTCACATAATATATAAATTATAGCAATTATTAATTAATAAATGATAAATAATATTGGAATTCTTCAATTTTTTCAAAAGTTATTGCCTTTAGGTCTTCATGGTCTGGTTATCCATTGAATAAGAAGCTCATTATTTTGGGGTTTTCCACATTAATCTGTAACTCTACTTTTGCTGTAGATCTTTTGAGAGCCATTCTGCTATAACTTACAAATGGTATAATTAAAATCAATTCAATATTCAATTTTAATCATTTTTTATTTATCTTTTGACTCTATATGTTTTGGCTAATATATTTATATTCGCTCATTTTCATTTGCACGTTTGTGTTTGCTCTTTTACTTTTAATATTTTATAGTAAAGCTCTCCCCAAGGGAATTTCACCCACACAAGCCAAGTTTAAACCTCTTTGCTCTCTTGAAATTTACCGTCAATAATTTGAAATATTTAAAATAAAATATGTGTAAGATATTATTTACAGAATACAATTTTTTTTTTATAATAGCAAGATTATATTATGTAGTTATTAATTTTCAGATAATCCCAATTATGATATCAATTTGTATGATGGGATTCAAAAATAAAAATGTTACTGATTATGTCAAGATGCTTCAACTACAAAGCCATGAATCACACTGGTTTTTCAAAATTGTTTTTACTCAAATTGCCATTTATGTAAGTTTGTTTTTTACCATGCTTGTCATATGTGGACTATTGATAAAAGAACAAATTCCTAAGAAATTGGTGAGTAAAAAAATTATATTATAATTGTATGTGTTTACATTTTAGCTTTAGTAAGTATGAAATCAGGATACAATGTAAATAGGCAAATAGTATATTTGATGAACATAAGTTCTTATTATTTTGCAATATACCTGTATCAATATTATTATATTTTATAAAATCTATAATACATTGCTTAAAGAATTAAAAATACATATTTTCTGAAATGTATTTCGCTATAGTTTATGATACAAAAAGTAGGTGGATATTTAATTACCAGAATAATCAATATGATACAGTTAACAAGAACTTTAAAGTTTTATAATTATTTCAAAGTTATACATAAAAACAATATTTTTTCCAAAATATAAAAAATGATTGATGTTAACTGTTATGATTATTTATGAAAAATACATTCTATCTTGAGAATTATATAATTAATTAATGATTATATGTGCTATGCTTTTATTGGATATATTATAATATATTATATATATTATGATACTCTGCAGGTCCTCATTGGCTCAGTCGTACAAGTACTTTTATGTATTGCATCCTCATATTTTCTACTGCAATTTCATAAAGATATGGGCAAGTTTGAACTAGTCCTATGTTCTTCAGCATTCGGATTTAATGGCTTGTTGTTTACAATTGATGCGATAATTATGTTTCAACAAATCGTATTTTCACGTCCACGATAAATTATAACCTCCATATTATCCTATATTTTTATTATTTATTTATCATATTATTATCATAAATTGTACCTACATATTTTTTTTTTACTTTAATTATAATGTAATAATTATTTTTATATTATATGTATATTAAAAAAATAAATCTAAATTTGAGTACCTAAGACAGTATTTATTTATGATCGGCGTTTTAAAATTATTTTCCTGCCTACTGACATTTATCAAATGACACATATCTTATGATATCTACTCTTGTTTCAAATTTCAATCCGAAAATCCGATACTTACCCCTACTTTAAACTAAGCCCCATACAATTTTAAAAACCGACCAACAATTCACCTCCTCTCATGACCTCTCTATAGGATCCGCTACGAGCCTACGGTTATTATTTATTTCTTCCATTGATGATGCCACTGTTACAAATATTTTGCATATTAATCTCATATTTATGCAGAAAATACTTCACAAATAGCATAATTTCTATATCTTTAAATTTATATCTAAAAGCGTCGTATCAAATATATTTGTACTAACAGAATTATTATAAATTTATACTTAATAAACTTAATAGTTAAATGCCGTCATATTGATGTCATTATTATGTTGCAAACTTGTACTCTGTGTGGCTGTATCTACTTATTACTTAGGTGAATGGGCAACCATAAGGTAATTTTGAAGGGGAGGAGGCAAAATGTGACTAGATTCTAAAACCTATTATTCTGTACAAACATAAAATGATTGGTTCACTGATTCAGTTTAATTATTTTAACAATAATATGTATTTATTTGAATGATAATTTCTTCAAAAAAATAGATTTTTTAAAAATATACGTAGGTACCTACTTGATGTAAAAATAAAAATATGAAAGATAGAATTTATCATACATAGTCTTGTTCACATTTTCGTTTGCTAAACATTTTTGTTTTTTTAAATAACGCTTAGTATAAAACCTATGAATTGTACCTACTTCGTATTGCACTTAATTCAAACTAATATATACCATCAAACACAAGCTAATGATAAAAAGGTAATTGCTTAAAGGGGAGTCACAAACATGTTATTACTATAAAAAATATATTTTATTATATGCCTATATCATTGTATCTACTTAATTTTTTATTTTAGTTATGCTAAATAATATTTTTATAGTTTTTATTATAATATGCATAGTAATTATTATGGTATTATTGCCTATTGGTGTATTGTTTTGATTAGCCTTGGGTATTCGTAGCAATATTATATTGTTGTTTGCTAAAAAAAGGAAATTAATATGAAATGAAATTAGAAAATTATAGAGAAACCTAGAATCCATTTCTTAGAGTTATAAAATATGATATTTAAATAGGTATGCGAAATAACATTAATACTACACTATAAATTATTGACCTTTTCCAAGTTCTGACTGCAGATAATAGATAGCCAATTGGTTCGAAAAAACAGGAGAATATATTCACAGCTCAAAAAAAAAAATAAAACTACAAATGCTGTCAGAAATCACCAATAAAATTGAACATTGAAGTATTTTTTCTACTATAAAACATGTACACAAAAACGAAAAAAACTCACGTCCTTGTTAAATAAATATATCCATACCGTTCCGCCCAGCTTCTAAAATACTTTACCTACAACTACAAGTATACAACTAGTCCTTAAGCGCTCGGGTCGCCCGGGCAAGATGCGATGTTGGTCATCGGACCGAAGGAGCAGGCTGCAGATGAGCCAGTAGACGATTTAATAGTATTCGTGGAAGACGTGCCGACGGAGGCCGAAGCAAAATTGGAGGAGCCGTGTGAACCGGAGCGTCCGCCATCAGACAAGAAGTGCTGCAAACATCCCGGCCGGCGATCACCGAGGATCGTAGCCACCGACTGAAGGGTCGTGAGACGGGTAACTCGTCTTCTGATGTGCGGTTGCGTCCGAGGAGAGTAACCCGGAGTTCACGGCTCCCTCCGCCTGGAGGAGCAACACGCAAGACGGTGGCACACGTAGGGGATTGACACGGGAAAGAGCACGTGGTGAGAGGCCGAATACGAATACGTCCCCCGGCCATTCGCGGCGCGACGAGTAAGCGGTTGTTGGCGTCGCTTGTTGGCGAGACTATCTGGCGGCTCGGCGCGGGCCCAGCTTCTCCGGCTGTCCTCGTAGTGACGAACGACGACACGGCGCGGCGGCTAGTTGTGTACCGGCGCGGGCACCGATTCCGCCCTGACAGTACTTCGACGATGATGGAGCGTGCACGAAAGCGAGTTGTGGTGGTGGCGGTGGTGACTTTAAAGCACGATGGGTGAGTGGTAAAGCTAAGCTAGGAATTGGAAGTCGCAGCATCGCCGGACCTGCGGGAATTCGATTATGAGTTTCAGCGTATGGCGGTGCGAGACTTCCGAAAGGCCTCCGGTGGCCATCGATTCCGCACAGCAATCACAGCTGTATTCGCTCGCCCTGTGCTTTTATCTCCGCCGTCGACGCCGCGACAGTCGTCCTCAGCACCTGCCAATCGTAGAGCGCATAACATCGCGCCACTAGCCGCGTGGCCGCGCCAATCGTCCAGTCTCTTGAGCGGCCGTTGTGGTCGAGCCCAAACCAGTCGTCTAGATCAGTGGTGCCCAACCTGGGGGTCGCGACCCCTAAGGGGGTCGCGAAATTTTATTAGGGGGTCGCCAGTAATCACCAAATGAAAAAGTTTTATACTATACTATGTATATTGTATATTATTTTATAGTTTTATACAAAGTAAAATTATTTTGTACCGTTGATAGGTGTGTCAATATTATGACATTATGTCATATCTTAATGTTGCGATAACAAGTTTTATTGAACCACGCAGTATATGGGTTATTTTTAAATTGAATTTAATCAGTAATTTTATTTAATCTTACGGTTATTATGAAATAGTCCGATAGTCATGTACGAGCCGTTGAGTTAATCGTATTAATGCTTATAATTTTGTATACAAACTTTAATGCACGGTTTGAAGATTTCCCAGAAGAAAGTCTAGGTTGGATAAGAAATCCATTTCATTTTAATATCAATGAAATAAAATTAGGAAATTTAAAAATAAGCGAAGAACTTATTGACTTGTCATCAGATGAAAATATACGTATCAGATTTCAACAAAATGCATGTGATACATTTTGGATTTCCATCAAATCTGAATATCCAGAATTATCAAAACAAGCTATATCAATTTTACTTCCTTTTGCATCAACTTATTTATGCGAAACAGCATTTTCAACACTAACGATAATTAAAAACAAATATCGCTCCAGATTAAATGTTGAAGCTGATTTAAGAGTAGCAGTGTCAAATATCAAACCAAACATAGAATCAATCATGTCTACAATGCAAGCTCAGGTCTCTCATTAAAATAATTAAAAAGTAATTTTATAATTTTAAAAATATTAAAATTTTTGATTATCATTATAATGATACATTTTTTAATTTTAGATTTTATAAAACTCTAATTTTGTATTTTTTTTTCATGTTTTTGATTAATTAAATTAAGAAATATTAAAACTGCTTTAAAATTAACCATTTAATGTATATGAATAAAATGTGTGTATACATTAAGACTATTAAGTAAATTTAAATTACACACTTACATAATGTTGGTAGGAAGGGGGGTCGTATTAAAAAATAAATTATTTTGGGGGGTCGTGGATCAAAAAAGGTTGCGCACCGCTGGTCTAGATGAACGTCTCTGCGAACAAAAGCGCCTGAGATTGCGCTCGTCCGTCCTCGGGACCGGTCGTGGTGACGTATGGAGGCGACCAAATAGCCATTGAGTACAAACCCACCTCACCATCCCTTGTCAATCCCCTATATAGAGATTTAGGTGTCTTGCGTGGTTTTTGTAGCTTCTGTTAACCTTATTACCTGCCGACTTTAGGCATTTGGCATTTTTTACAGTTATAGATTATAATTTTTTTTTTTTTTTTCTAAATAAATTTGAAAAGGCCATTTTTTTGGGTCAAATACTAACAATTTTTGTTTTTCAAAACGACCACATTGTGTCAATGTCGCCATGTCGGGTTGCATGAATATACACTAAACATATTTTAATGAATCAGCTAGTTATGCTATACAGAGCTTAAGAATATTTTTCAAAATATTCTTGTTTTCGCATAGTATGTATAATCATTAACTATTTTATTCGAAAACAAATTGAAAAATATTGAAAAAAACAAAATTTAGTTACATTGGTAGATAGTAATGGTTTATTAGAGCTAGGATTTATATGCAATAAAAATAATTATATATTTATTAATATTGAATATTTGAAATTTCAGATTAATAATTTCTAGTTCGTAATTACCAAATTATAATATTGAATTTGAACTTTGCATTTAATTATATTATTAAGAATAATTTTAGATTCTAAGCTAGAATACTGTGTTAATATAACTACTTGAAAACTCTAGAAATCCAATACTAATACTTGTTGCGTTGGGTAACTCCTTGTATAATAGTATACAACAACGCCATTTGAATTGCAGCACTGTGTTTCGCCCAGGCGTCGAAAGGTAAGACATGGTCATTTTAATTTTGATTAATTTCATTGTTCGGCAATAATGGAAATATGAAAAAGTACTGAAGAAAACTCTACATCATTGATCGCTTAAAGTTTAGTACTTTTATATTGCAACATTGCGTTGGAAGTGTATAGTGCCCAAATATAGCAGTATTATTATAAATTGTAATTTAACATTTTAGGTGAATATTTATCGATATACCATATACGTGAGGACTGAGGACCCATGGATTCTGTTCAAAAACAAACCTAACGTTAGGATTTTCCATATAATATTAAACTTGCGATATGAATGTATTTAAAACGTTTTAGTAACTAGTTATCTACCGGAAATGAAAAAAATATAAAACACAACATCATATTATTATAGTGAGGAGTCTACGAACAATATATTGTTCTTTTAAATCCGTTGTATTAAAACGTTCGCTCAAATCTAATGGGCGTGATCTGTAGCCTATAGGTAATTAGATATGTCTCGAAGCAGTGTGGTGATCATTTAGATCCCTCGTCTTCGTAGTCATCACGTGAATGTCGCCACCCAAGTTCACTAACTGTTTATAGATTTTCTTATTTGAGTCGTTGTAAAATGTTTTAAATAATTTCGCCTCGACATCTCGCTTGTGTGAAAAATAAATACACTCTCAAAACATCGATATTCGTGTATCTGCGTGTATTAACTTGCATAATATTATGATGTGCCAAATATACCTGCATATGGGCACTTAAAACAATTAAATCAAATATATAGGTATATTTTAGTCCATTATACAAATAAATAAATATTTGTTATGGAATAATATGTTTTTATTTTCTCAGCTGTTAGACTTCATGCGTGTTTAATGTTTATGTATAATTTTTTACTATACATAATATATAAAGTACGTTAGTACCTATATATGGTAGGCTATGATTCAAAATCTTGACTGTAAATAGTTTTAAACTCTTACTTTGACATCATATCGGCGCATGGCGGAGATCAATTAAAAAAAACAAACATTAGGCACTCATCCAATTTTTTGTATTGTGTCTGTACTGTCAATGATTATTATACTACGATCTAGCCACAACCGAGTACGTGTTTCACACATATAATATGTTACACATAGGTACCTATAGCAGGCAATTGGATTGATTCACCTTGTTCAATAATTGATGTAATAGTTAATAAGGTATCCATATTAAGTTCTTCATTTTTCAATGTCTCTAATGCCGATTTTTCTAAAGAAGAAATTAAACTAAATAGATTATTAGACGGACATATTAGTGGCCATTTGATCGCATACCTATAAGTTTATCTCTAAATAAAGAGCAACAATCGTTTCTTAAGCTAGAAAGACATTTTTCACATTTAGTGAATCAGTTTGCCTTTCTAGCCATATAACCAGCTAAGATAATACTTCACTGGAAGTGCTGGTTGACCTATAATCATGGTCATGCATTAATGCTATAACATCAGGAAGTTCTTCAAACTGGCCCTTGTTTATAATTGAATCTAACTTTCCTTCTAGTCTATCTTTTGTTACATTCGCATTTGATAAATCTTGGATGTTTATTAATGTTTCAATAATTTCTCTTCCAATTACATTACAATTTTTTGGTGGTTTAATTAGTGAGTATATGAGGAGACGAAACATTTGAATAAACAAAACAGAATCCAGATGATCATTTGAACCACGAGCACTTCTCATCATAGGTACCAAAGAATCTCTAAAAACACAAAATAAATTGCACAATAAAATGTATAAGTAAATTGCATTTAAACTTTTAAGTATAATAGAATTGGGTCTTTGTATTAAAAATGAAATTACTTGCCTTTGGCGCTTTAAATATACTTTTATTTCGAATATTATTTAACATATAAAATTTTTTTCTTTAGAATTGCTAGTTATTCACCGGAGGGCATAACAATTTCGACCCATTTTTAACTATTTTTATGTGAAATGTAATTTAATATAATTTCAAAAACTGAAGAGAAGAACATATTAAAATATCGAAAACTTTAAGAACAACTTTTTATTAAATAAAATGTCCTCAATTTGGTGTAATCAATAGGTATCGTAAATATGAATCTACCACTAGAAATTAACAAGTATAAAATTTAAATATTTAATTTAAAAAGAAAATGTTTAACGAAAATATTGAACACTAATATTATTTTAGTAATTTATTTTTAAAGATAAATGTCCGCTGAATGCAACGGTAAAGTTATAGTTTAAATACGATTTTTAGTTTTTTAATTATAATTTTTTTAAGTAAATAAAGTCGAGTATGTCCCTGTCTAATGCTGGTTAATTTTATTATACTCCGAGACAGCCTTGAATTTGACCGCCACGCAGTCTGATGGAGAAATTAGTGTGCGATTTTTTATTGAACCAATTTTTATACAGGCGACCAGTAGGTTTGGCCTCCTTATCTCTAGCCTTCATAGTGAGTGATAATCCGCTTATCAATCATGTTATCTATTCTTCGAATGGAGGGAAAATACTAATTTAATAATAAATAATGTAAATTCTTAGATTTTTGAAAAGTTTAGAATGTTTGGATAGTTGAGATAAAATAATCTAGATTACAATAGTTGATTATTAAAATTAAATTTTTTTTAAATTTTATGCATTCAGTGGCTTAGTGGTTAGGTATATGACATTTTTGTGGTGTGTTAAATAATTTAATATTTGTGGTTTAAAAGGTATTATCCTTGCGGTACCTAACTACCTAACGATTACAGTTTATTCAATGATGCAGTTGTTTAAAATATTATATTCAAACAATCCTAATAAGTTTTCAATACAGGATCCAAGTTTTTAATCGTTGAATGATATTACACCAACGTTCTATTATTATTTAATTTTATACTGTCAGTTTTTTCTCATGGAACATTTGCTGGACGATTCTTTTTGACACATTGAAACGCCTTTAGAAGTACAATTCAACTAAATGTATTGTCAGAATATTAAGTAAACACTAGGTAGGTATACTGAATATTCTCGATTGTTAATTTAAGTTTTTTTTAATTTTTCACGATTAAATAACACTTTTATTTTCTAGTAGATGAGATTACAAAATAAGTGATACCTCTTTAAATTATAGTGTCTATGTGCTTTTTATCCTGTACAGGTTATTGTTTTAACATCTCCTGATTTTTCCTTAGATATCCAATTCAATATTTTTTATTTTTTAGATTAACTAAGTTAAAAAAATTGATAACATTTTAAAACTTGTTCAATAGTATATAGTTTGGTAAGATCAGAAGTGTACTTTTTCACCTGTATACGACACGAGTAGCGGGTGATTTAATGCACATGTATATTAAATATAATATATGTGTTCAAATAAATAAATAAATATTTATCTAATTTGGACATTAAATTGTCTAACCATTTTTCCAACCCCTCCCCCCTCCTTTAAAAAAAGTAATTTTGTAACGCTTTAACTTAATTATACCTATCTAATATAAATGTACATGAAAATTTGTTTAACAGATATTTGAAATTCAATTTAAAGTAGTTCAAAGTTAAAAGATATAACATGTCAAGTTTAACTGATGAACAGCGTAAAATGATTGAAGCGAATAGAAAAGCTGCACAGGCCAAATTAGCAGCTAAATTGGCGCTTAAAAATACACCTCAGCAAGCTATGAGTAATAATAATCAATGTACATTATCAAAAACTGTATCGGTTGTATCGCCATCACCTAATGGAAAATCTGTCCGTATGAATTATAATCATAGTCTGCAGAATTCTAAGTCTAAACCTGTCCGTGGTTCTTGTGAAATTACATCAAAAGAACGGTTTACTGTACATGTTACCTATCATCAACAATTAATTGATACTTTTAAAACAATTTCAAGTAAAAGTTATGGTAAGGTTATCTTCTATAACACAATTTTACATGGATATTAAATTTTAAATACTAAGAAGTTGATATTTTTAGATCCAAAAACATCAGAATGGTCATTCCTAATAAAAGACCATGATCAGCTTATGATAAGTATCAAACCTCTTGAGCCTAATGTCAAAATAGAAAAGTTACCATATTTTGTTTTAAAAGTACTGAATTTTTCTATGAAATGTTATTTGTATCAATGCAATTAATATCCATTGTTATTTATTTCAGCTGTTTAAGACTAAAAATATTGAAACACATTGGTCAAAAATTGACATAAGTAGTATTGGTGATGACATGGTAGATAATCTTTATCCATTTCAAAAACTTGGAGTTCAGTTAGTTTCCTATTTAAAACAAATAAATTATAAATGAGTAAATGTTAAATATTTTTAATTTAGGTTTGGAGTATCTAAAAAAGGTCGCTGTATTATTGCAGATGATATGGGCTTAGGAAAGACCATACAAGCTATTGGAATTGTAAAATATTACTCAGATAATTTTCCTTTACTCATTGTTTGTCCTTCAAGCATGAGGTAAGTAAAAGGAATGTTAATAATTTATATTGTTATTGCATTCAGGTATTATTACTGTTTTATTGGTTATTTATTAATTTTGGCTCAATAAATACTATTTTTCTTGCTGTATTAGGTACACATGGGAAGAAGAAATTCGTTTAAGGATGTCAAATGTTCCTGTAACTGGGATTTATGTATTATCTAAAACAAATGAACAATTTATTGATCCAGCTGTTGTTATAACTTCATATGATTTAATGACCAGAAGAAAAGATATGCTTTTAAAATTTAAATTTGGGATTGTTGTATTTGTAAGATATTTTATTTAACAGTTTTAAAATACTTAAATTTCATTGTAATTAAACCAAATATATGTAAAAAATTCAACTGGCGTTATTTATTTAGGATGAAAGCCACAGTTTAAAAAGTGAAAAATCGGCCCGGACAAAAGCTGCACTTTCTTTTGCAATGCAAAGTAAGCAGTGTATATTGTTAAGTGGTACGCCTGCTTTATCAAGACCGATTGAACTCTATAGTCAGATTAAAGCAATAACACAAAATAATTTCATGACTCCGTAAGTAAAAGAGTGTTTATCCATATATTATTTTAGCATTTATATTAGGTGAATAATTATTATTATTTATTGCTACCATTGTACATATTACTATACTCTGTCTGGCAATGATCAAAATCATTCGGAATTTGAGCATCCTCTCACCCAGCCTAGTGTTCCCACCTAGACTGTCCAATGACTGACGGCGCACTTTGACAACCGGCCACACTTTTCTACGACTTTGCACACTCAATTAGAGGAAACAGGATCTCGGAAATTGCACGGTCATTAGTCTGCATGCATAGGACCGGCACGTTCTCTCTCGGGACAGAATATATAATACTACATTATTATTATGTATCATTACTATGGAATTAAAATATTATTTTATTTTATAATTTTGTAACTTTTGAATTATTATATTCATAAGAATAGAATAAAAATATTAAGTACCTTGTTAAATAAATCTACTGTAAAAATAATTGAAAAAAAAATTTTGGGTGTGCATACAAACGTTATTTAATTCTACATAAGTCCTTTAATAATTAAATAATGTATAATTATTTTTGTGGCAATATGATGATTTTTTATGCAATTTTTCCATTCATCTCTTCTGTGAGAGTTGTATAAGTACTTCTATTGAGTAACAATTAATTAAGACTAAGGTTTTTATTAAAAATAATTTATAAGATTTGAATAACTTGTTTGTTGTGCAATATTGTAGAATGGCTTACTTCTTATAAAATATGTAGACAGGTATAGGTTTATTTAATAATTTTTTATTTGATTTTTACACTATTTCATGGTTCAACACTTTGTGTCCTCCCATGAGATCTAGTTAATTCATAATGTTTTCAGTTTATTAATCAGATGAACTTATTACAATACCGTAATTTACAACAATTAAATGCATTAGGTATGAATTTAAAAATATTAATACAATTTTTAATTTTATTAGATTCATATTATGTAACTAGTGAACAAAAAATTTCAAAGTCTTATTATTATTTTAGCATTAAAATTTTTTCTTCTGTAAATGTTTGATCAAAATAAACATGATTTTAGGATAGAATTTGGTATTCGTTACTGCAACGGACGAGAAACAAATTATGGCTGGGACTTTACAGGTGCTACTAATATGAAAGAGTTAAAAACAATTCTAGAAACTCAATTCATGATCCGTCGTTTAAAAAGTGAAGTATTAAAGCAGTTACCCCAAAAAATTAGGTATTTATTACCTCATATTTATGTTATCAAGTATAAGTAAACTTTTTTTAACAAGTTTTAAAAATTTGAATTACAGGAATGTAGTCATTTTAAAACCAGAAACTATCAAAGCTCGGAATCAAAGCATGGATGATTTGGAAACCATGATGAACAATAAATCCCTCAATAAAATGGAAGTTCGTGGTGCTTTATTAAAATATTTTAATCATACAGGAGAAGTCAAATTGAGTGCTATTTGGTGAGTATTACTAATGTAAATAGAAATGTTTCAATCAATTATCAATTTTGTTCTGTTGACTAGTTTTTAGTGTTTTTTCAATGATTGAAATTTATTAATCAGCATTAAAATTCATTGCTAGGTACATTTATTCTGAATGTTGTAATATTTATTTTTTATTTATTTTTAATGGTTTTGTAAGTCAAGTAGTAATATTTTGATAACTATACTCTATTCAGAATAAGAATAAACTGCTTTGGACATAATGACAAAAATCTATATCATTACCTGCCGATTTGGTAATAGTTGGGAATCATTGTTTACCATCATGTGCCATTACCAATACTGATGGTTGTCACAGGTAAGGCGAGAACATGTTGTGCATTGAGTAGAGTCAACCATAGTGAAGATAAATTCTCGATAAATTCTTATTCTGAATTTAGTATAATATTTGCTAATATTATAATTGTTAAGAATTTTGATCTATATCAATCTATATACCAAAATATTATACTTTTTGGAAGTTTTTTAATGGTTTGTTTATAAAAATGAATTTACTTCAAACATAGATTTGTACAAAGAGTATATTATAATACTCAATTTCAAAGTGACTGACAATACTATAAAGTAATATTATGAACATAATTTATGATCTGTGGTATCAAAGGTCACAACCTTTGCCTTATAGAATATGAGTTTATTTTTATTGTTTGATTTTTATTTAATTAATTATTTAGCTATTTAAAACTTTAAACTTCAAATATTATAGATAGATGATTATAATAATTTCTTTGTTATTTTCATAAGTTTTAAAGAAAAACATAATATTATAATGTAAAAATTATTTTGATTTTTAGTGATTATATTCTAAATTTGCTTAAAGAAGGAAAGAAATTTTTAGTATTTGCTCATCATCAAAAGGTTATTAATGGTATATGTGATGCATTAGAGAACAATGAAACTTAGTGAGTAAACCACATATGATGCGTATTAATTCTCCATGTTTGAGCTATTTATTTTTATTGTTTTCCATGAATTGTGTGATTAGTTACATTCGAATTGATGGTAAAACGTCATCAGAAGAAAGAAAATGTGTGTGTGACCAATTCCAAAGTGAAGATATGTATAGGGTAGCCGTTCTTTCAATTTGTGCAGCAAATTCTGGTATTACTCTAACTGCTGCAAATCTTGTTGTATTTGCTGAACTTTACTGGAATCCTGGTGTAAGAGAAACTGATCACAAGATTGAAATGTAAAAATAATTTGAAAAAAAAATTTAATTTTCAGATATTAACGCAAGCTGAAGACCGAGCTCATCGTATTGGTCAAGCAGAAACGGTAACCATACAATATCTTTTGGCAAAAGGTACAGCCGATGATCATATTTGGCCATTGATCCAGACCAAATTAAATGTTTTAAACAAAGCCGGTCTTAGTAAGGACAACTTTAAAGATGACAGCACTACAGTTGTTGTGAGTATTTAAACATGTTGTACATTGTATTATGTAAAATTATTTATGTATAATTTGTTGTTGTTTTAATTAGAATTGTTCTACTAAATCCAACCAAATGAACATTCTCGATTTCTTAAATGCCGATAATGATGAACTAGATGAGAATGATTTGAAAATGTTGGATGAAGTTGAAGAGTCACAATGCAAACGTCCACGCAAACGTTAAATTATTTTTAGTACAAAAAATGATTTTTATATTAATTTTTCAATCCAAGTAAATAAAAAAATGATATCATTAAATGTTGATTATTTATGTACAAAATGAATGTACATGTACTTACCTAGTGAATAAAAATAATTTTGTTAAAATATTTTAGTTTGTTAATGTATTTTAGAAATACAATTTCTCTTCTAACATATTACAATAGGTATTATTATCAATTTTGCATTGACGGTGATAGTACTTGAATATGGACGAGTTATGGTAAAGATAGAAGTGAACTACCTATTAAGAAGTGCAAAGGGGTTATAACAGGATCATCTGAATAAGGGTACGAGGGAACTTGATTTTATACGTGCCTCAATTTGTACAAGTAAATTATACATTTTAGCATAATATGTTAAATTAGTAGTTAAGACTGCCCTATTAAATGCTGTTTTAATGACTTCACTGCGGCCTCCCATAAACCCCCGAAATGGGGTGCTCATGGCGGAATAAAATGCCATGTTATGGAGTTTCCATTACGAAATGATTCAACTTTTTCCGTGTGCACATTGGGAGCCCCACGCATTTTTCAACTCTGTAAGCTGTTCCTTGGTACCTACGAACTTTGTTCCTATCATTTTCTGTATAAATGTGCTGACATATTTCATGGCTTAAAATTAATTGTTTTAATGCTGAAATTAAACCATCCATCGTCAAATTGTAGGCGAACTCTATATAATTTATAAATAAATGTGTAGCCTTTGTACTAAAAAAATAAAAATACATATAAAAAAATTAATCCGCATTTATTTTTATATACTTTCATACCGTGCCAGCATAATCTACACCACATGTCTCGAACACCGAATCTATGTTTGGACAGATTCGCAGACAACCCATAATTGGTTTTAAAATTTCCAGTATCAATTTAAAACATTTAACACAGTTATGTACCTACTAATTTTTTTGCTACCTTTAGTTGGCCAATATTGTAGTTGGAAGATAGTCAACATAATCGTCTGAGGAATGTGGCCCCCATGCATCAGCTTAGGTTAGGTTATTCCTCTGCCTCCTTAAATGGAAATTTTAAATTTTTGTTTATTCCATACGTTTGTAATTAGTTTGTAAAGAATTCGTTTAGCCACAAAATAAATAAGAAAAACCGATTGAAAGCTGGGAAAATGCCCTTCATTTTTTTATTTCTAATTTTCGTATAATATATTCCATACAACTGAGTTTTACACTTCAATATTATTTATTTAATCTTTTTTTGTATAACTGGATGGTGATATTGAGATAATGTCATTAAATTCTATGTTCAAAATGTGATTCCTAATTTAGTTAAACTTGTTCAAGATAAAGTATGTTAGCCGTTAGGTTTGTAAGTTTGTTTGTAGAACTTAGTGATCGGCAGGCCTAACAGGGTAAGTTTTCTTAACAAATATATTGTATATATTTATTAAAAAGGTTATAAATATATTATTTTTATAACTAGGTTCATTATAAAAATAAAAAGACATATATAATATAATAACAATAGTAGAGTAGGGTAAATACAAAATATCTTTAACAAAAATTCAAAATTTAAATTAAGGGGGGCTACGGAATTAGACCTAGATATCGGACGCATTTAGCAGTCGTCCGCCGGCCTGCAAAACATTTTGCATCTTACATAATGCATTAATGCGTTGTCGAAAAAACGTAGTATGTATGCCAAGAGCCACGAGTTTTTTCCATGACGAGTATCGATTAAATAATAAACATTATTCGTGCTATCGTTGTTGTCACTCGTTAAACCTTTTCCTCCGCGTACACTTCCGTTGATATATTTTGTGTACCTACTATTGTTGCTCAATTCACTCCAATTGATACTAGAATTTCTTAGCCATGCTTGCCCATTCTACCACAGATAATTATTTTTAAGCTCACTTGGGGTGCAACCCCGTGATCAAACATCTGCCGGGTTTTTTGAACTTGATTTTACGTAATTCCACTAGTGTTTGTCACTTCGTATGTTTCCCTTACGCAATTTTTCCACCTCGACGATTCTGCAGAAATCCACACTAATAATACGCGTGTATTGGACCACCTGTATTGTTGAGTGATGTGTACTCTTAAATATTCGAATAAACGATTAAAAAAAAATTTATATTACCTAGTAGGTACCTTTAGAATTCGTGAACCAACAAAATTAATAATTCTATACATACAACGAGTAACAAATTTAAAATGGAAAAAAAGCAATATTTTAACACAATTATTAGTGTTGGATGTTAATATTTTAGTTATTTCGACAATATTTGTGACCGTATCCACTCAAATTTGGCCGTCATATAACACGATTATAGTTGACCTTAAAACTTTTAAATGAGGCCTTTCCCAGGCAGATGACATGAAAAAACCACCAGTCTTGTCAGTTTATTTGTATAATATAATTGTTTTCAACACTATACAAATAAATTATTTTGTACTCAAAAATGCAAATCGCTGGAAAGCTGTAATTTAAAGCTTGCTGCAATATAAATTAAAGCCGTAAAAACAAAAATACAATATTAATCCTTCACGAACGGACTCATAATATAAAAAAGGCGCGGTATTACAACGGAAGCAACCAAACATCCACGAGCGTATGTAAAATCGTTTTTTAAATTAAATGGTGTAAAAGACAGGGCAACGGTGTATGGATATCGACTTGCAGATATCTTGTTACACCTTACACCGAAGTATTAAAAACGCGATTGACTGGACGACTTACAGATCCGTTTCGAAGTGAGTGGTTGTACTCTTGTAGGGGACAATCGTGAGGCCAACATAAGTCATAAGACAATTTTCATCAATATTACATTAAATCAATTATTTCACATGGGAATATTGTTGTTCGTTTTCACCCAACGGCGGTAAAATAATTTTTTCATCAGAGGAGGGGTGTGGAGTTTTTAACATCACCATATTCTTATGATTAAATGTATAATTTTTTTTTTTTTTATTAATTGTTTATGGCATCAACTACGAGGTTATTAGCCAGGGGTTTTTGGGACTGATGGGTTACTGTAGGGTTCGGAACACGTGCGTATAAATGTATAATTTATGGTAATTATAATATTTAAAGTATGGTATTTAAAGAAAAAGGTTGAAACTTTGTTTGATACCATAATAGTATAAGGTATAACGAATATATTATTGGTTATTGTAATTTATAGAAGATAATTACTTTTTTATACCCTACGAATTCTTAATGTTGCTTCGAAAGTTGATAAACCGTGCAAGGCTTGAGGTTAACGGTTTCTGTAATTACTAGTTACTAATACTAATTACACCTAGGTTATCTACAATAAACATCAATATTCAAAAAATGTATTGAAAATTTACTTTTATGAACGACAAGCAAGTCTCATATTATAGAGTTGGCATTTTTAACGGCCAATGAAGTGTACGAGATCAGCTATAAATATTGTATTATGTTATACTACATTATGAAAAAATAATGAACTTTTTAGAATATTTATTATTGCATTTTTTAATCTTAATTTTACTAGTAATAATAATCTTTTTTTTTTCGTTTAAACCGACAGCAGAGGAAGATCTGCTTGAAGTTTTGAACACTACTACTCCTCTGCTGCCATCGTTTATTAATGTTTAATAAAAACGCTAATACATACACATACTTAATGCATAAATAAATTATGGTTGCAACACCTTAAAATAGTAATAATAATCTAGATACATTTATAATACTTTCTTCTAGATTGGATATTTGAATATAAAGTGATAATTTCTTTAAAATCTGCTCCATAACATTATTTATTCAAGCTGATCCCATGCAATTTGTTGTCCGTTAAACATTTCAACTATACACTTATTAATATGTTCATAGTTCTCCTATAACCAATAGTTACCATTTATAAACGAATATTTCCTTCGTAAATATCAAAATCACAGTTTAAACTCCTCACTGGGTTGCTCCTATACCTGGTCCAATTGTGAATCTATATCATCCAGGGAACTCAAACACACACCAAAAATATCATCAAAATCGGTTCAGCTGTTTAGGCAGGCATAAAGGACAGAGAGACGGACATTTTTATAAACATAGATATTATTCAATGTTCGTACCTATACCAAAATAAAACGTATTGTGCACGTGAAACAATCAATTCATTATGTAAGTATCAAGTACCTTTCGTGTGCTTAAACAGTTTGCGTAATCTAAGCAATAACATATTTTGAAACAAAGTTCGTTCTTATTTTTATTTATTATACAGAAATTTGAAGAATTTTATTTATCAACTTGCATTCTGAACAAATAATATTTTATATTTCTAGTAGGTACATATTATAATATTGTCATACCATGCGATTATGGTTATGATGAAATATTAGTATTAGGAAAATTCCCATTAATCTATAAAGCATACCAACTGTGGGTAATATACATTGAAAATGAAAACTGTGGTACTTACTATTTTTTTAAATTGTTAGAACATATCTTATGTTTCAATTAACTACTAAACATTTTATTTTTAAAAAGTACATGTTTATTTGCAATAGCTGCAATAAATTTTATGCATGTGGGTATTATGGCTGTTAAAGATAATTCTATCATTTCTATCACACATTTATAAATTACGATTGAAAAAGGTTTCATCTTTTCCGCTAATCGTTTTTTTATACGACAAACTCAGTCACTTGCCTCAATTTAAGTGGCTTCAGCATCACGTGTATGCGTTAAATTATTAGTTTTAAAATCGTTATTAGAAGTTACACACGAACTTTGCATTCAGCTTTATAGCGATAACGTCATAATCTCAGAAGACCGTCAAACATATACTTAAATAATTTTCGACTAAAATATTTCGTTTACGATAAGATTTTATTTATGAACAACACATCAGGAGAATTCGCAAATTCGCTGCCAAACCAATAACCATCACAATCAGATATAAAAATAAAGATAAAAAACAATTTAACTGCTTTTCAGTTAATATCGACAGTAATAATTTACGATCATTTTTGTCGATACTGGATATTATTCAGAATAACCGTATACGATAACGATTACGATATAAAGAAACGCCTACCTAAATTAGATCTCAAAAGAACCAGAGAATAATTGGAAAAACGTATAAAAAAGTAGGAAAGTAGGTAACCGCTCTGTTGTACATTATAGGTGTCGATTGTACAGTCACTGTGATGGATGTGTTAAATTTGAGTTCAACGATAAATCATTGCGTTCGAAAAGCGATTCTGAGCTGATTCTGGTCTTTCAGCTTAAATTAATAAATATATTTTATTATGCATTTATATATAGCAATATTATAGTATTTTATTTCACTGTAAGCTCGCTGGTTGAACTAATTTTTGCCAACAAGTAGCATTAATTATATCGTAAATATTATTATTTATTTATTTATTTATTATTTAATTAATAATAACATAAAATTACATCATGACATAAATATAATATCTATATATATTATTCATATTAATTTTTAAATCGATATGTACCGATTGACGATTAACCGTATATAGAACCGGTATGAAAACAAAAGGTACGTGGTATACCTATACAGCCTACTGGTATAGTCAATAGCTTTGAATTAATCTTAATTTATTGAAAATGTCAACGTGCTTAAATATTATAAAATACAGCAATATACGAAAAAGTTTCAAGTACCTACCTACGAATAATGTTTTGTCAAAACTTTAACTTTAAATATCAATAAAAAAAAATTATCTCACATATTTTTAAGATTTTTAAGTTCTAGAAATAACTACTTATTATAAAAAAAACTTGTATTAAATCTTCAAGCCTTGGATTATAAAATTGAACATTTTGTAGATATTTAACTACATGCAAAATAATTTGCAATTTTTCGTGATATCGACGAATTTTGTCAAGATTTAAACTTTAAATTATAACATAAAATTGTGTATATTTATTTTAAATAATTTTGCATTGCTATAAGAACAACTTATGTACGATATTTGTAAGCTTTATGAAACTGGTTTATGCATAACAAAAAAAATATAAAAACTGTCTATTATTTTATCATAACTTAAAATGTTTGAAAATTTGACTGAGTATAGAAAATCGTAATTTAAATAGTAGTGGAACATCACAAGTCCCTACGATCAATGCTGTAGATTATAACTAAATATCAAAAAATAAACATTCCCGTTTTGCCCTAATTTTTTTTCCAGATTATTTTTGAAAAGGAACTGAGAAATTATACCTCCCAACAGTACCAACTAGTCAGTAGTCACTAGATTCAATTTGCTGCCAGAAAGTACTCACTCCCAAAGTGGATCGAAACGTCGGTTCCTACTATTATACACATACTAAAATAAATATAAATAATTAATAATAAATGAATAAAAAATGAATAAATAAATAAGCTATAAATACAACACCATGGAGTCGTTGGAAAATCACTCCATTCTGCAATATCTACCTGAAATATGGTCAAAAAATTGTTGACGTGATCCCCCTCCAAATTACAAATTGTCATGTTCATAATGTTAACATTGTCTATCCACAAAATCACATAACCCCCCCCCCCCTTCATCCCCAAATTATGAAGGTACATAACATGTATTAATTTAACAAATTATTGTATATTTCTATATATTTCTATTATTAAATTGGCCGATAACCACTATAACACAGAATTTTATTACTGAGCATATAAACACATAGCTTATATCGACTTTATAGTTATGCATACAGCATATACGTTACTTGTAAGTTAGCGGTGCGGTTACTGTTTATTGTTTGTGTACCTACTTAAATAGTTAAATGTATACATTTTAATCGCACGGAAAACCTAGGAATGCTGTTAAAACATATACCTATTATAAGTTATTCTTATATTACTAATTACTGTATATATGCAAATTGTTAGGGCTTTAAAAACAAGGCGATTATTGCAGGTTATACTTACATATTTTACATTTTTATTAAAATTCAGTTATAGGCGTAAATCGTATAAAGAAACATTTACAAAACAAAATTATACAATAATATTACGACAGAAATATAATAATAAAAAAAATTAACAATTTTCCTAAACGATTACGGAGAATAATCGATGTTCTTAATGTTTAAATTATAATATAGGTAGGTAGGTAATGTGAGTTTTTAAATAATAAATAATGATGTTTATAAAAATTAATTTTTAGGGTAAAACCTTCACATCAAAAATATATTATACATAATAATAATAATATTATAGGTTAGGTATCATACACAATCGTCGCCGTGAGGGTAGTTAAATAGGAAATTGAATGGGTGGGGGAGGAGTGGTTTTCCCGAAGGAGTTATTGAAAAATAGCAGTCTTCTCCTTGAACGCAATTTTCCGTTTGGACATCTCGTCCTCTGACCGTTTCTTCTCTTCGATCTCCTGTCGTAGTTCGTACTCGAACCGGTTCGCTATTCCTTGATACTCGATCTGCGAACACGACCGGAACGCGTTTTAGCACAACGACAACGAATTGCAATTATAAATAATTTATAACCAAACGCATTTAATGTAAACGCAAAATTGATCGTTTAATACCTTGGCCTCGAAAAACTCTTTGGCGCCGATCACGCCGACTTCGTCAACGTTGATTTCCGTCAGTCGGGCCAGCTCGTTGAGGCCGCAGTCCAGGGGCAACGAACCGTCGTACGCTTTGCGGTAGATCAGCAAAAACTGTACACAAACAAACACGACAAAATTATGACATATTGATCGATATACATAATTATGTTATGTGCAACATCATGCGAAAAAAGTAGGTTAAGCTGTGTATGATACAACCGTCGGCGTCGATCGTCTAATACAAAACTTTAGTGGAAAAAGAAAAGGTTTCGTATGTTACCTTTCATTTACATTGTACCTATACAATCTATAATTATTATTATATCGTTTTAATTATTCATCTCTGTTTATAATACCGTAAATACGCAAAACCCTAAACAATCTCACAATACAATGGCAACGTTATGGAATCGTCTCAACAAGATCGGATCGCAGATACATGTATAAAATATAATATACGAATAAGGTACAACGTTTTTTTTCTAATATATTTAGCCACACGATTGTGGTGCTTACTACACGGGTTGTAACTCTGAACATGTATGAATTAATAAATACTAAAATTGTAATTTACATAAATCCTCTAACATAAACTTGCAGGGACCGTGCAGTATCGATGAATTATTGTAGCCTGTAGAGCTTTGAGTATTTTTAATGGTAATTAGTAATTAGGTGCTAATAAGTAATAGTTATCAAATCATTGTTATGGGCTGCTGGTGCTTTTACAGTGTGTTTTGTAAACAGAACTATTATCGATTCTCATTATAATTTCAATTTTAAGTTTACGTATTGATGTAATTCCGGTTCAATAGGCTGTATACACTTATAGACATTTAGTGTTACATGCCACATAGGTTGGTATGTGAAAGGAATTAGGTACAACTGTACAAATGTATAACATTTTCAATTTTGTTCAACATATTCAATATTTTCAATGTTTGCAACCCTCATCAGATAATACTATCTTAAGTTCTCCGGAATACATCATATAATACATAAATTGTATCAAAAAAAAAAAAAAAATCGAACAAGCTGCAACCACAGAGAAAGTCTTAAAAACGTGGAAATGTCATAAACTCTCAAATCTTATAAAATATACACCGCATCTATTAGACAGGTATAGGTTGTAAGAACTAGGTAGGTAGATACTATGCATTATACGATTGTTACGATAGATCATTATTGCTGTTGCGTCACAGGGAAGAGAAGTACAACATGTATATAAAACATGGTATACAAAAAAATAACAGACGCATACCTAGACATTTATATAGATACGAATTATTCGAATAAAAGTATTATGCAATCGGTAATGTTTATGTATGTTTTATGTGGATTTTTTTTTATTATTACTTTCAAATAAAACACTACTTATTTCATAATTTTAAAGCAAATATATATATGTATAAAACAATATGGGAAAGCTTATACAGACAAAAACGTCAAAATAATAAAGATCATAGAAAATAATAATATATTGTGAGCATAGAATAGAGAAATTAACGTTCTCGAGTAGCTATATATAGTCTTATCCGATTCTTTGTGTATATTTTTCAAACGCAGTCTTTATATAATATAGTTACTACAAAAACGTGTCGAGAGTTCGGCAGTATTAAATTATTATTATTTTGTGGGATATATGATACACCGCACTTCTCTGCAGACGTATAGACGTGCCCACGGCGGCACGGCAGGTAACGTATTTTGTGCATGAGCTATAGTGCCCGTGCGGATCAGCTAAGGTTCCTTATCCACTCATATAATATCATTGTAACTTTTAACAAATAATTATGACATTTCCTAAATATTTCAATTTATGGAATCGTTTAAAACCTTAACATATTTTACAGATAGGTACATTAAATTATACTCAATAATATAAATAATAAAAGTACATAATACTATATTATGCAATCGTCGTTATTTTATTTGAGACGATGTATACAATAGGTAATAAATAATATATATCATAATATATTATAATTCTTAATAAATCAATATTCTTATACTGTATCCTATTATATTTGTACATGTAGCTATAGCTAGTTATAGCTCTATATTTTTGAAATACTCCAAACATAGACATGGGTGGTAGGTAGTACCCACTCAAAAAACGTCTGACTAGCCTCTACAATAATGTAACACACGACTTAACGATACCTAAAGATACGAACTACCGAGACACGCCTATGTTTTTTTTTTGTTATGAAAAATATGAATTAATAAGTCGTAACTTATAAGTTAATAATAGATAAATGTATAAATATATATAAATTATTTATGGATACCTACTTCTCGAAAACTTATCTTGTCGTCACAGTCTTCGTCGACTTCTTTGATCATGGCTTTGAGAGCCAAGTGAGTTTGCGGAACACCCAACTTTTCCATCATCCGTTTCAACTCTCCCAAGTCTAAGTATCCATCTTTACCGGTATCGAATCTGAACAAAATTCAAGAAACATATTTTAACAACGTATAAATAAATATAAAGGTAATGTATAATATTACAATACGTCAAGACGGGCAAAATAAATTTATATAATCGTGGACGTTTACGTTAATTAATTAGTACCTAAATATGTTTAGGATATTTTCATCTATTCCTAGAATTAAATACAATTATTAATTTTTTTTTTGTTATCATTGTTGTTGTTTCAAATTTTCCAAGAACCCCTTCGGCCTTCGCCCGTCAATTAATGCGGTCTAGTTACGCCAGTGATTATTCTACAGACCTGGTAAAATTACAAAATTAATATACGTCTTTCCGTGGTTTTTCGTTATAGTGGAGATCCGGACAATTTTATTTATTTAGAAACCTTTGTCTCCTAATTCCTTCGATTGATTTTATAATTATATTGTAATCGATTGTTGTCGTGACCAAAAAAACCGACAATTAGACTTCATTTTCTGAAAACAATAGTATTATTGTTACAATGTTACCGAATGAGAAAAAAACAACTACAAAATTAGTTACAGATAATCGGTCCGATTTTTTAAACTTAGAATTAACGTATTTATTCGTTAAGTCGGAAAGGTCTTCAAACTTTAAACGTAAAACGTGTTCGTCTAATCAATCGTTAACAAAACTAATTGCGTTGTGAGATCCGATGTCAAAACCGAAAATGCAATATTTTTCATTTTTTGACTCGATATAATATAATAATTAATAGGTAACTATAAACACTCGCATGAAGGAAGATTTCCAAACTTTCATTTACTTTTTTTTTATACAACAAAACAGTAGGTATACCCAACTAATGGCTGGTATAGTAGTATATAAGGCTATAGGCACGTAACTAATATCGTGTCTATAACTTATATAAGTAGTATCAATCAGTCACCGCGCCCGTCATACAGTCTAGCTAGTCTATAGTTACATATTGTGTACACAACATTATATAGAAATCGGTTATAAAGACTTTTTGCAATGAACCGGAAAAATCCATCATCATAACTGGTACCAGGTGTAGGTCGCGTAACAAAAATAAATAGCAAATGAAATGTATACACTCATGTACGACTATTGTTGATCAATAAATATTACTGAAATAATATAAATATTGACAACAATAGTTTAAATGTATACCTCCTAAACACCAAGTAAACAATTTATTTATACTATTGCACATAATATAGTATGCACCTAGTTATTATTACAGGTAGGTAAGTAGGTTAGGATACTTATTTAAAAATTAATTAATCATATTTATTTCTGAAACGCAAATTTGAATGCTATTAATTCTCGTTCTGATATCGTTATCAAATAATATTGCCTTGAAAATGCATTTTTATTTAAATGTTGTATTGTATACAACTATTATTCTATCTTGATTCTTGACACAACGCGATTACAAGACAATGAAAACTGCCGGACCTCAATTATTTGATAATAATATCGTCGTGAAATCTGTTTCGTAAACACATATCGCAATAACATTTAACTTATAATAACTGTGCAATAAAATCAAAATGTTAAACAATGGGACAGTTTATTTTCGGGACTATATGCACATAATTTAGACGTTTTTTCAGTGTCTAAAACCTCAGTGCAGTCGCTAAACTGATTATTTCTACAGTATATTATAGTACATCGTTATCCATTTTTACAAGATTAATAAAAATATAGTAATAATAACAACAATAATAATACAATCTCATCCGCTCCGGTCGTTGCACCAAAAACAATCTCTCCGCTACACACGACGTCGGGTGGCCGAAACAGATTTAAAAAAAAATAAGTTAAAAAAATTGAAGCATATATTATTATTTATTAGGTATACCCGGTGGTTTGGTAGATTATAATTAATTTATATTAATTATGGTTATTGTTATATATAATCGGGTACCTATATCCTTAGTTCCATGATGTAGGTTTCTCAGCCTAGGTTCTCGATAAATGGTTTATATTGAGTATTGACTTATCGTATGTACACGTAATACACAACAAACAGCCTAATTAAGCACATCGTTTAAATTGTTTTTGAAATCAATTTTAAAATAAGTTTATTAAGAATAGTGTACTACGCCATTATTACAGATTGATCAATACATATATAAATATATTTATATATTATATATAGGTGCCAATATACTTGTCATCAAACTATATGTTGCACAGTTGTATTGTTTAGTTAAGTGCCTGTTTTATATAGACTACTAGACTTTTAGAGAACTCTAGGATTCAAGTCCCCCCTATCTGAATGAGTTTGTACTGCATACGGCCTTCATCTTTTGGTAGGGATCTAGCTACAGTAATTGTAAATCCCTCGTATATTTCATATTATAATAGAAAATCCGGCAAATGTACTTATATATAAGTATATAACGTTTTTTAATTTCTATGTGTAATTAAAGTGTAATTTGTACATAAACGTTTTGAAATACTAAATAAGTGTACGGTTTAACTATACCCTATTTATTATTATTTATTATACACCATTACACTGCATTTATTGCAATTTAGCATATTATTATCAGTAGATACCTACTACTATTATTACAATATTATGTATGTACTTCAATAACTGTATAATCACAAATAAATACTAGTTATTAGTAAATATAGCTACGTCTACCAATCTTTATAACTTAAATACATTTGATCTCATAAAAAAGTGCTAACGAGATGATTGTTTATTATAATATATATAGTGAATTAGCAACTACATTAATAATTTCACTAATAAAGTAATATAAGCCATTACCATATCAAATCATTACTCGAATTATTATATTAGCATTATTCTACTTAAATATAGGTCATAATAATATTATGCATTGCACTATTATTTATATCGCAGTGTTTCATTGCAATTAAAATGTTATACTATTATATATAGGTGTGCCTGTATTGCATTTTACAATATAGCTGTAATAGAAGAAAAAAACACTGCGTCCTTTGAGATCTAAACACAAATTCAAGCTTTGAAAAACCAAAAAATAAAACATGTCCCCCTACAGAATACGTTCACGCATATATTATGATGACATGCGCACGAACAAATAGTAATTTTTGGTGCGTATGTGTAGTGTGTACGTATTCCGACACCGAAAACTGAAATGTGCGTGTATGATATTATGTTGTTATGATCACAGGTACGATTAAAGTGCATAACATAATATGTTATATAGTATAACGTACTATGTGTCCGTGTACTATATAGGATATACGTCTCGCCATCTCGGCTTTCAAGAGCACATCCACCGGTGGTTAAAAAATATAAATAAATAGAAACCTATAGGCATCCATGACCACACACGGAAGACACCAGGAAACTATAAACATAATAAATACGGATATACCTTGTATACATGTTATACACGAGTGTTGGTATAAACGCGCTCAAATTGCGAGCTAGGGAATCGAGTGGTTCAGTATAAGTTTAAAAAAAAACAGATTCACCCAACTAATTATTATTCATTTTATAAGGACCGTGATGGTACTCAATAATCAAGCTTAATTCAATATCGACGGAATTTTTTCGCAACACATTGTTTTCTTATAAAACTATAAAATAAAAATAAATTGAAGAAAATAATCAAAACTATACAGTATAAGTACATCTTGTATATTGCCACAACAGTGATTTTTTCTTATATGTTTACCTTGGGGTTTGAGATATCAATTATTGTTATGGTTAAATTGTTTTTCTTTTAAAAGATTATTTGTAGTTTTACCGTTAAAAAAAAACATTTTCTCGGTATACGTCATCCAATTTCAGACCCAATATGATATAAGTATTTAATGATAATAATGTATGTTTTAATTAAATGTAACATACGTATATCATACATTTTGTATTATATTATTTAATATTTTTATCAGAATTCAATTTTGTTCAGTCACGAAACACACCGCCACCGCTGACTATGAAAAAAAACGAATAACATGGTTGATGGATAACATAATTTAATATAAGAAAAGAAAATTGATAATTTTAAGATAAATGTAGGACATTGCTGTATATGCACATGTTGAAAAATATATGCATTAAAGATTTTAAATGCCCTAATACATCATTGTCACTTGTTTTTAATCACAACCAAATGATAAAAAAAAGATTGATAAACACGTCACATGTACACAGTACACTATACACTATTTGATCACTATGATTTCAAACTAAAAAATAAAAATTACATCAAATGCTTAGGAGAATTAAAAATATGTAAACTATTAGGTTAGTATACTTATTAATCATATATAATATAAATAATTATAATTTATATAGTACGTAACCTATTGCCCATAAATCTATAATAGTACCAATACATTTTTTATGAGAGATAAACCAAAAATACAACTTATAATAGACAATATATCATATCATACAATTTTAACTCAAACGACTACCACTCGTCTAAAGTGCAAAATATTGTAACCCAATTTCAAGATCAGTAAAATAAAAGATAATTTATAACTGGTTATGAATTTTTGCAGTTTAAATGCAATGTCAATGCCAAACAAATCAACTACATAATTCATTTTGTTTTGCAAAAACATTGATTAATTAACGATTACCCGATTGCATACATAATATTCATATGGAGCCAAATATTTGGAATTTAAATGAATTTCATATGTTATTTTCAAATGTTCAACAATATTCTGTTGTTTATACACGCAAAAAAATTTTCAATGTTAAACTAAATCATATTTTTATACGTTTATTAATTTGATTTCTAAGTAAGACATGTACATACTCATTTCATTATTATAGTTTTTCTTTGATATTATACATAAATAATAATTGTATATCAGTTTCTTTTTATCTGTGAAGTCAGTGGGTATGCATAACCAATAATATTTGGCATTCGTATATGTTTGCATACATACAACTTATAACTTTGCTAATGTAAAAACATGAATTTAAGATAAAATATATATGAACATTAAATGGAAGGCTACAAGGCGTATAGGTTTACCGAGCTTATAATGAA